TCTTAAACTTTTATTTTCAAAATGTAATTATTTCATTCTAAATTGAAGATAAATTGTATTTAATGAAAGAATTTCTTTTTTTTTTTTGATAAATATTAATAATTATAATTATATGAATATTTTTTATACTGTAGGTTTGTGCATATATCATGAGTATTTAATTAAATTCTTTATACTAAGCATTAGATAGTTAAATCGTATTAAGTATTCAACTTAATATTTCATTTAAATTTAATTTACGATATTAAACACAGCGAAATTAATTATAAGTTTTAATTTCATAAAGTAAACTTTACTTATTACTCGTATTTAATAGAAATCATAATTAAAATATAATAGATTTTAAAAAATTTTTAAATAAAAATTTATATTGTGTATGATATTTTATTTTATTCTCTTCTTATTTCCTCCTTACTTATTCGTCTAATTAATTTATTAAATCAGTTGTTTTATAAGGGAATGAATTTATTAAATATTATAATGAATTTTATTATATATATATATATATATATATATATATATATATATATATATTCTGAGATAAATTTAAACAGGATAAAAGTATCGTATCATAATCACGCATGTGCTGGTTTAAAAAAAAAATACATACACTATCGTGCGAGAGTAAAGTTTACACGTTAATGTCCATACACATTATCACGCACACGCGAGAGCGCATGCAAATACGCATATTCATACACACAGAGATGCATTCCTGTATACTTAATGTATTCTTACTCATTGGGTTAAAAAAATATAATATAAAACTCATTATTTTACAAATCTCAAAACTTTATTCATGATAATGAAAAATACTTGTTCACCGAAGCGCTAGTTTGTTTTATTATTGCTCAAGTTATATTAAAATTGATTTGCCGCAATGAAATGTAATTAATATGAAAATATTCCGGGTAATATATTAACTATAATACTTGTATGAACGAACAATGAAAATTAAAATACGTAATGGCGAAATGTACGATGACGTATTGAAGTAAAAAATTAGAAGCCATTTATAGTATGAGATTTAATTGTATTTTTGACAGTATGTTTTTACAAAATTTATGAAATCTCATGACACAAGATTGCAAGATATCGAAATAGTATGAAGATTGAATATCTCGAGAATGTCTTGTCGAGAATAATCGGTTAATAATTGCGTGTGAATAAACGTCTACTAATGAATAATGAAACATTTACCAAGACAAACATAGCCATGAAATATTACGATAGTTGCGATAAAAAATTAACGGAGCTCAAGAAGTTTCGAAAGATCAAAGGCCAAATGTATACTCGCCATTTCTGAAAGCGGCCGGTTTACAATACATTATGACGCTAAAGATAGTTATTTAAAATAACGGACGATCGGATGTTGGCACAGAGTCAGTTTGATATTTTAGAAATTCGCAACAAAACAAGCCTGTATAGGCAGCGTAATTGGCATTATGGGCTGGGATAATCGATAGTGACGGGCTATCAGGAATGTTGGCTAATAGTTGGGCGCCTTGCGTATACTACAAGAGAGCACAGGCGGGTGCTTCCGATAACGATGAATTATCCTTGGCGAGATTCGAAGAGAGACCTTTGTCGCCTCTATTACGTGTTCCCGTGCAACTCAATTCGCATTCATCGCAACTATTTTGTCGGCCACTTTTATTTCTTCGGCTATTCGCCTACCGTCGTCCGCTCACCTATACAGTACCGGCGCACTTACTTTTACGGTTCGATGCCCGACGGTTATTTGCTGCAAAATTTATATCAATTTATTTAGGGGCCAATCGAGCACGTATATCATGCGATATGGCAAAGAACGTCAGCGGACCTATTTAGAGGATTTATTTTAATATCAAATGCAATTATCTGGTATTGCCTTGCAATTCAAGATTTCCAAGCAATTAGAACTGGAGCGTCTGCCGTGACAAGGGAATAAAATGTCGTTAATACCAGGGCTGAATATTAATTCGTAAAGTCATAATTTTATTTATTTTCAAATTGACATTCTTTTTAAATTATCTCCCTGACTCGCTCACAAGATGTGCCACTAATTTTAATATAATGTCCACTTTTTACTTATATCGTTTTTATGACATTGTGTCTAAGGAATTTTCCGTCTATGAAATTATCGAGCGATAATTTATTTATTTGTTTTAATTTAATCAAATTCATTTTATTCCAAAGCCATTCACCTATCTACATTCTCCATTCTTCTATACAATAGAACAAGTTTTTTCTTCTATTTATTTGATTTCTATTTCGATTTGAATTTAAATTTACATTTTGTTTTTGTTTTTTTTTGTTTTTTTTGTATTTTTTTGTATATTTTTTTGTATATCGTATACATTTATTTGCTTCTTATTGATGGTTAACGTGTTAAAATCATCTGAGCAATGAAAGAAAAATATAGTTGTAGTGGTTATTCCTCCGTAATTTTTCCATTATTGATCATTGGCAAGAAGTTTATGGGTATGTAAATATTGCGAAAATATTTTATATGGTACATAATCGCTATTCGAAACAACTTTTTCTTCGCGATATCATCATTAAAAAATATACATTTTATTCAAATGGTCGAAAAATCTTTCGATTTATTTATTTACGTATGACTATGCATTACAAGAATAAAATACAACTATTCAAGTAATTATTCACCAGCCTTGAGTTAGAAAAAGACAAAATAATAAACTTTCACTTGAAATATTCATTGTTTTTGAAAAAGTACTCTATAAAATATTTGAACAAATTAATCGATAATAGCGCCAGTAGTAGCAACACCAGTAAAATATTTCCTAATATCATATCCATTATATATAATATAATATCTATCCTAATATATCTATCTATTATCTATTATTATCTATTATATGATATCTATTATATATAATATAATATCTATCCTAATATAATATCCATTCTTTGTTTGTATAAAGTTTATGTGTTGAAAATTAGTTCGACGTGCTCAGAAACATTATTATTGTAACATGTTAATTTTACAGATATAATAAGAAGGATAATAAAGGATTAAATCTGTTAGAAAAAAATTAATCTTATTGAAAATAATAGTAAGAAAACTTTATTTGAATGAGTTCGTCGGGCTGTGGCCGGGGGGGGGGGGTCAACGACGACGGTAAAAATACATTACTTCTGTTCGCGTCGCCTTGGACAAAGGACGCCAAATATACGCTATACGGTCGATCTCTTAAGAATTATATAAAAATTCATTAATACATACGTTAGTTAATACAATAATTATCTATTTATAAAAGCTTACAAAGGTACTATGTTTAAATTAACGTTACGCCATTTACAACGACAATAATCCTTTTATCCATCCATGAAGTGATTTTATATACATTATTGCACATTCGAGCATTTGGAATGTAATTTTTGAGCGTAATTTAATCACATTTCTAAAAAGCAACTATCGCTAATGGATTCGGCATTACACTCGTAAATTACGTTGTAAACAACCTATACAAACACGGAACCAAATTCATAATTCATATCTATTCGATACTTCGGTATTTTTAATTACCAATACATAATGACGTAAGATACAGGCAGAAACTCATCAGTTTCAACGGTGTAATTAAATATAATATAAAAAAAACGATTTTACGAGCATTCTCCTCGGATATAATGCTACACAAAGACGGAAAAATTTTAATGCTCGAGGGACATCAATTAACCGCGGTCTTTAAAAGAGAACTGCCTTTCATAAAGAATGGACAGTCGTTGTAGAATTGTCGTAATGTATACCCGCGTTCTAGTTTATTCATTCGTTCTTGTGCAGTGCGCTTTTACACAGGATTTCATAAACTTGGGTGTGTGATAAACGAGATATTACTAATAATTGTTTTGACATTGTGCATTTAGACAGATTAAGGAAGATTCATAAGATAAAATTTGCCTTTTTTATTAATTTTATTTTTATCTTATTTATTTACATTAATTTATTATTATTATTATTTTTTTTTATTTATTCGTTTTTTTTACTTTGAGAATATGATAATGTAAGTTATTTTTATGTTTTCTTAGTATTTTCATTGAAACGGACTTTATAATAGCGGCTATTTCAGCATATGAAGAAATTAATACATTTCTATTTGCGATTAAATTATCTCGTCGGTTCAATCATTTTCTCCAACGAGGCAATGTTGTTCGAAATTTCAAGTTCGTGATCGACGAGTAGATTTATGAATTAAAGATATAATTTCTCCGCTACCTAGATATATATATATATATATATATATATATATATATAGTGAAAAACAAATATTTCAATAATTATTATTTAAGATATATGTTACGTGTATGGAGGAAGTATTGCATTTTTATTGCCTTCGAGATGTTACCTTTACATGCTGTCATTACAGTTTACTTATCTTAAAAATCTTCTTTTAAAACGTACATATTTTAGGCGTTTACGAGCATATTAAAATATTTTTACTTTTAATATATATTTATTAAACTTGTATTATTAAAAATATCTCTATTTATAGGCTTTTTAATATTATTTTCTTAGAGCTCAGGCGTAATATCTGTCTTATGATATCTCATTTAAATGATAAAAGGACAAAATTTTAATTATTATGAATGACTTTAGGAATATAAAGAAAACTTTTGCTCTTTCATCGGCAATTTTATCGACGTAATATTTCATCTTATGCGTTCATGCGATTATTAAATTAAATGACAAACAAATAATAGCTATTGCACTATATAATCCATTTTTTAAGACAGGAGATCGTGACAAATACAAAATGTCAATGAAATCTTAGAAATACATATTTCTATTGTCGTCACAGATTTCTGTCACTTGCGCGAAAGGTATAGAACATTGTTGTTGTTGTTGTTGTTGTTGTTGTTGTTGTTGTTATTAAATAAGAAACGAAGGGACACCGTAAGTTAAAGCATTCGGGGATAAGGATGGGCTAACATTCGAGTAATTCCGGTCTAATTTTTGGATAATTTTGGGGTAATTTTCACGATTGTGTCGGCAGAATCGCCCGGCCATGTTAACGAGGAAAATCAAGACGACGGGAGAATCGTCGGGGGCTATGAGACCAGCATCGAGAAGCATCCTTACCAGGTATCGTTGCGCCTTCGCGAAGGCTATGAACCGGAGTTGTAAACTCCTACTTGTGGCGAGTAACTAATAGGCTTAATGGTTATGTTGCACGTTGGAAGGTATCGCTGCAATACAGGAACGATCACATATGCGGCGGCTCGATAATCTCCTCGGACTGGATCGTCACCGCGGGCCACTGCGTCGCAACGTAAGTATCGCCCACGAACCCTTTTGAATGGCTAATGACGCGTGGATATTTCCGGGCTCCAGTATGAATCTGAGGTACCTCAGCGTGAAGGCGGGCACGACGAGCCTTAAGGATCCTGGTCAAGTGGCTAAGGTTCAGATCATAATCGCCCACGAAAATTACACGCGGCGCAGCACGGACAACGACATCGCTCTCCTTCGGGTGAGTGCAGGACGCAGCTCCGAACGAAGCCTCTGTTATGCGACCTTCTTTTCCCCTTCCCTAAGCCTCTTCTTGCGCACCCCACAGCTGGAGGCGCCGCTGGAGTTGGGCCCGACGGTGGGACCGATCGAGCTGCCCCCCCTGGACGGCGAGCACGAGCGCTGCTTGTTCTTCTGCGATAAGGCGACGGTGACCGGCTGGGGCGTCCTCGAGAGCAAGGGCAAGCCCGCTGACCGTCTACGCGCTGTCGCCGTTCCCCTCGTCAGCAACGCCCAGTGCGCCAAACTCTACGAGCCGCGGCCCATCACCGAGAGAATGCTGTGCGCCGGTCACGTATACTTTGGTGGCAAGGACGCCTGTCAGGTCAGCCTCCCCACCCATCTCTGTCTCACTCTCCGTCTCTATCTCTCTTTCTCTCTCTCTCTCTCTCTCTCTCTCACTCTCTGTCTGTCTTTCATCTTTGTGCTCGGTGTTTCGGCCGCGGGCGCTACTAAATTCTCCTTTACGTTGCAGGGCGACAGCGGCGGGCCGCTCGTTCAAGGCAACAAACTTATCGGAATCGTGTCCTGGGGATTGGGCTGCGCGAAACCATATTATCCCGGGGTTTATACGCGGGTCACGGCCTTCCGGTCCTGGATCAACGACAATAGCGGAGTCTGAATCTTCCGTTACTACCAACTCCTTCTTTCATTCTTAAACATACACTCACATACGGGCGAGTTTCCATCTGTTACTCAAATCCTGATCCTGAACACTCCTTAATAGTCTTATAAATGCCATATTTATTATCAACTTATCCTTTACAATAAATATTTTCGATACATAATTTACAAGCCCTTTTTATTTACAATCTTTTTACATCCTTGATATACTTAAATATCAACGCATTTTCAAAAACAAATTTACTCTTCATTTATTATGTGCTTTAATAAATACAAAATGCCTGAAAATACAATGTTATGGAGAATAGGAACATAGTAGATGTTATTGAAAAAAAAACAAAAAATATATATATATATATTTACAATTGTGAACAACCATCTGTAGGTAGTTTTTTTTTAAATTATTCGAAATGTTATATTCCATATGTTGGGCATTATAATATTTTTTGTAGCCGAAAATGTCATTGTCGTAAACTTGTAAATTATGCTCCATAATGCAGCTTTTCTTGTTTCGCAGTTTTGTCTCCTATTAACTCATAAATTTCTTTACCATAATTTTTATACAATGCCGATGCATTAAAAATGCTTACTGATTTAAAAAATTATAAATGATAAAAAGCATAACTTATATCATGCTCAACAATAGGAGCGTACTTCTAAATTAGAATACGTGGTACTTCTGAGAATTGAGATGGGACGTAGTTGCGTGTTAAATAGGAGCCGTTGAGCGGGCTAAAGGTATCAACAATATTGTCATCGGAATAAGTCATAGAGTTGGGGAGGGGGAGGGGGCGAAAGGATGGAATGGTAGTTGGCCGCGTTCCCGATACCTTCCTTCTCAGCGTAGATCGGAGGAATGGCTGGATCGCAGTTACTCTTCCGAGTACACGGGGTAATTGGCATTATGGCCGTCGGATAATCGATAATACGCGGGACTATCAGGAATGTTGGCTAATAGTTCTGCACCTTGTATACGCCATCCACAGAGCTTCCGCCCTAACAATGAGTTATGCATCCGAGAGATACCTTTGTCGCCACTCCTTATGCAACGTTTGCAATGTACTTTCCACTCTGTTCTTTTAGTGTAAGTACCTGCCCAGTCCTAAACTTCTGGCATTAAACGTTATTATCCTGAACCCCGTTTCACTGTTCGAATCGTTTCGATTTAGCTGTATTTATCCAACTAATCCAAATTAAAAATATACAATAAAAATTTTAATTATTTTTAACTCCTTAAATTAATAATAATAATAATAATAATATAACATTGATTGTTAACGTTAACTTGTTGTATTACGATAGAAGGACAACTTATTATCGAAGACATTAACAAAGATAAAATAAAGAAAATAAAGTATAATGTAAATTTCTATAAATAGTTGAAATAAATTTTCGCTTTTAAACTAAAATTTAAGGATTTATTTCGCCTGTTATTATAAAATTTATGTTTAGGTAATTTAGGTTTAGGTGCTATTACAGTAGTTGAGCACTTGTTGCAAATAATAAGAAAACAATCGACAAAAATAAAAAAAATTTTAATAAAGCATTTCTAATTTAACTTCAATTATTAAGATTACAAACAAAATTGATCGAAATTATTTAAAACTGAAAGTGCCTAGAAAATGCTTTTGGAATTAAGCACATAAGCCAATGAAACATTTAATATTTTTCTTTTGTGTGAAATTATACTCGAAAACTTAAGCATATTATTGTATTATAATCTTGAATATTTTATGTAGCTTTCCTAAAATTTGAACTTGATTTGTCGTTTAATCTAAGCAATTTGCAGTTCAATAAACTTAAGCAAATGACAACATTCAACGTTTTCATAATGTAAGAAATACATTTGTCAATGTCACAGAAGAATAACACATTATAATATAAGTTTAATAGATTTTAGTAGATGTAACATGATTTATGCGAACCAAGTGTTTAATTAATTTTGTAAGTGGTATAAAATTAAATTTACATAGCGCACAGAAACATTGGATTCTGTTAGATAATATTTTTATATTAACACTTCAAATACTTTACAAACATCTAAATGATAGCAGAATTTAAAAAATATTTAATTTTCATTTTAATATTTTATTTTTATATAATGTACAAAATATATTCAGACGTGAAATGTGACAGTTCAAAAAATTTACCGCGAGATACTTCAAACGATAAACCTGTTGTTACCAGCATAATGGCAGCCATTATAAAATAAAACTTTCATTTCACCTTTATATTTTATACTAAATAACCGTCGACTTTTCAAACGTACAATTAAAATGATTGGAAATAGCTATTACAAGTACTGAATATTGAAATATTTATATGCATACCAATATATGGATAGAAAAATTAATTCTAAGTTCATTTATACGGTAAATAAAGTTTTAGTGATTTATTTTTTATTTTTTAATGAATAATTTACAAAATTTTCTTCAATATTTGCTTTTAATTTTACTTTGTTTAATCGCAAATTATAAATATTGAATTAATTAACTAATGTATCGTATATATTAATTGTTATATATTAATTTTTTATCCATAGAATTTTATTTTATTAATATAATTTTATATTATTATATAATTTATTACATTATCGTATCAAATATAATAGCAAATGCATATTAAGTATGCATCTTAGTGATATTTATACCTATAAAATTTAGAGTCGATAGAGACACTCTAACGTAAGTGAGGGAATTGCCGTGTAATTAAAAGATAATGGAAACATCGTATTTATTTTCATATTTGACTGTCTGAGAGATGCAGAGAGAGAGAGAGAGAGAGAGAGAGAGAGAGAGAGAGAGATAAATGAGAAAATTAAGACTTGTGTTATCCGTTCCCTTTTAGTCAGTTAATATATTTGCCAGGCACTACGTCTGGTTCATATATTGTATGAATCATTCGTAGTAGATGTTTTCGATCTTGTGTAGATTAATTTACCTCTATCATCTGTGATTTATCATCTCTAATTTATCTCTAAATCTTTCTCATATTTAGTCTCAACTTCAATTTAGTTTGTATTTTTATTTAAGGTGTGAAGCCGGATATGATTTGTACGTCTTTCATATTTTATGAGGTTTATTATTATTGTTCTACCAATGCGATATGATACTAAGAATAGAATATTTATTATAAAACTAAATTATGATTATATTTGCTTTTTAATTTGAATAATATTAAAGATTACTTATATTCTTTTTTTTATTTACAACTATTAATATATTGAGTTAAACTAAATAGTAGTTTGTATTTGTCAACAATATACAAAAATCGTAGAGATTCCTAATATTTTGACATATATTTGTTTCTACAACTGTAAATATATTTAATAAATATTTCTACTTGTTATAAATTAACAGTTTCATCAATTTTATTTGAAATCTTTTTAATTGATTTTAATTTCATGTTTATTTTATAGAATAATTATCGCATATTAATGTCAATGTCATAGTAATTTTTAACAACTAAATTTTTAAAATGTAATTTTACTATTTAACATTTTTAAATAAACGTGATCATTCTTTGATTATATTCCAAAATTTCAGCAAAGAAGACTTTTAAAAATATAATTGATTTTCTTTTATATTCATTCGAATAATGCATTTAATAACGATAAAAAGTAATGATAAAAAAAAGACAACATTAAAAAAATATGTAATAAAAAATAAGAAAATATTCAAGTCAAGTCAAACTAATTTAATCAATTAACAAATGGATTATATATGTGTCATTCTCGAAAATAATTTGTATACGAGTAAATTGTTAAACAGTCATTAGATTACAATAAGATTTTATTGAATATAATCAAATGAAAATAAGTAGCACACATGCGAAATGTGTTCTGACATGTGAAATATGTAAAGGAAATAAAAATATGTTTCATACTCATTATCCGAACAAAACAAATTTATAAAAATATATATAACTGTCTACATACCAATTCTAATAACAAAGATCTTTAATTATCACTCTGTAGTGTTATTTTTTTTTTTAAACGAAAATTGATGCAAAATAATGGCATAGTAAGCAATATAAGAAAATGACTTTAAACTAATACATTCATCTTAGAAAAGAGTGATAAAGTTAATAAAATATATGTACATGTACGTTTATATTTTTATATCATACAATATGAATACAAGAATGAAGAATGTTTTATTTTATTAATTTGCTAGTAATATATCCTATTATATACAATATACCCTATTGATAATATACCCTCTTGAATATAAGTATATCTTATTTGAATTGACTTGTGACAAATATAGCATAAATAAATTAATGAAATAATATAGATATATTATTAATACGTACATTGATTTATTTAATTTTAATTTCACTATAGAATTCACAATAAGATGTATTCTTTATAGTTTTAGTTTAGTTGACAATTTTGAAATTAAATAAAACTGTTACGTATGTGCAAATTAACAGTCAAATAAAAAAATTTCATAATTTTTGTTTATATAGACATTTTATTTTAAAGTTACCAACATGAAGTACAGTTTCAGGTTTCATTTGCTATTTTTCTCTGGCGCCCTCCTCTTATTTTAAATTTCCCTCACTCTACTTCAACTTCCCTGTCACCTTGCCTGTCACTCCGAGCACTTATAGCTTTATTCTTTTCTATATTTAGCTCATGTAACAATAAACTTATTATCAACAGCAAAAGATCCTTAAATGTAGTTATATTAGTAACATTTATTCTTCTCATTGCTTAATTTCTTATTCTCATTGCTAAAGATTTTTATATATAATGACTAATTCATAGATGTATTAAATAAAACGTCCCGATAATTTTGTAAATTAAAAATTGATAATATTCTTGCGAAGAAAATATGAAGTCATTAAAATCGACATATGATTAATTTAGGTTTGCTATTATAAATCGATAGTGCTTGCGTATTTGAAACATGCAGGCGCTCTAACATATTAATTGAATATATTTCAGTAAAAATACATAGAATTCGAAACGCAAAATGATAGACATGAAAGTTGTATTGATGTATTTTAAACAATTATAAATTTGATTCAATTTAGTACGTGTTAA